TAGAACACAGAGAACACATTTAATTCCTCATCAAAGTGATCCAGAAAAGGACGCTGATGAGACTTGCAGATGGGTCCACACCTTAACTGCACACATTTGTTGCAAGAGATCAAAAATTTGTAATTTTATATTGGTTCAAAGAATTGCAGCTTGTGGGAGGGGACTGCCCAGTCAAAATAAATGGCATGGTGAAACGCTTACACCATATAAAGGGTAAGCAGCAACATTTGAAAAATCTGTGATGGGTTTAGCACTGTGACTGTCCAAGTTGGTGGTGACGGTTTAGTTACAGTGGGGATGTGCCACTTTTGACGCAGTTTTCTCCACTTCTGTGCCTTTCAGTCACCCTGTGTCATTCAAGCCATAGGGTGCCACTGTTCTTTCCCTTAGAGTGAAAGGGGCTAGAAGTGGTCAGCTGAAAAGCCTTTTTATTTTATTTTATTTTATTTTATTTTATTTTATTTTATTTTATTTTATTTTATGGTGCTCAGCTAGGATTAGTGTTCAAAATATTAAACAGATAGTGCATTTTACCTCAGCCAACAGAGGAAGAAGCAGAAAGGAAAGGTGCTGAAACAATGCATGGAACTGTCCCTGTAATGAAGAAATGTGGGATATGTGGGAACATTTTAGGTATTGTTGATACTGCCTTGGGGCAAGGGATGGACTAAATGACCTCCCAGGACCTCTTTTATATGCAATAAAGATGATCCATCATAAAAGGATATGAAAGGGCAATACAAAAGGCTTAAAAGTGAATACAAACATGATTTTTTTTAAAGTAAATTATTACCAGGTTAAAATTGCAAACAAAATTAACCTCATGGCCTTCCTACCTGCCAGGGCTTGAGGTCATGGTTCTGTGCATCTCCAGCTGAGATTACTTAGACCTGTTCAGCAGAGAGCTGCTTCCTGACCTTGTTTGAAGGAGTTAGTACTGTCAAGAGTCCTTGTAAGGGAGGCACAGAACCCTGAACTCAGTCCTAGAATCTAAGTAAAAGAAGTGAATTACTTCTTTCCTCCCAGGAAAATCCTTGTGGGAATAATCCTGTTTATTTTGACTGCATTCTGCCCTCAGTAAATATGGCCCTAAAAGTCTGTACAAATAGACACGTGATTTGGAATCTTAAACTGTATTTCTCTATTTTAGATTATATCTAAATGTGGAAACAGCTCTGTTTTTGAGTACAGAGCTGCCAGAGAGGATCCTGCAGGTCATGCCAGTTTCATGCAAAAAGTGCTCATGCCTCTACTCCTCCTTGAAGGATAGGGACAGAAGTTGCACATAAACCAGCTTAAGTGATCAGAAACTGGTTTAAACCTGTAACGGAACAAAAGTTCAGTGCACATAAACCAGTTTCAAAATGGCCGAAACCGGTTTAAGATAAACCTGGTTGAATGTAGTATCAGACTTAACTGATTGAGGTCAAAGTAGTTTATGGAACTTGTGTCCCAGACAACTTCCTGGTTTAAGTTAAATCAGAGTCCTCCAGCACCCCAGCATGCTTTTCAGCCCTGGGCTGGGCTGTGCTATCTGCTCCAGAGACCAGGGCTGACCCTGCCTCTCTGCTCTCTAGCCAGAGCAGGGGCAGGAGTGTGGCCAGACACCAGCCTGACATAGCCCCCTAAGGCAAAGGGGCAGAGATGGGATTTATTCCTTCCTCTTTCCCCTCTCCCCCTGGGAACTGCAGCCTGGGTCTGCCTGGCTGTGGTGGAGCAGCCCCTGTTGGGCATGTTTCCTGCTGCTGGAGTGGCAAGGGGCATGGCCAGCCCCAGCAGCAGCAGCCTCAAGCAAATGGGGGATAGAGAGGGATTTAATTCTCCCCTCCCTCCCTTATCACACTGGCACAGATGCCAGCTGGGGTCTGCCTGGCTTTTCCCCCCTGCTTGTAGCTCAGCATGGCCCAGGAACCCCAGAACCCCCTTCCCAGGCAGGGGGCAGTCCTGTTGCACTTTCCCAGCCACTGGGGCTGGGGTTTTGCTTGGGCAGCCCAGGAGCAAAGGCCAGATCAGGCAGAAATGGGAGTGAAATGGCCCCAAGCCCAGGTGGGGACACACACAGAGGGATTGTGGTGGTGGAAGCTCCATCCTGAACGTGAGCCCCACTGAGCAGAGGGACCCGGGGTGGGAAGGTTTCCATTGTGTCGACACTAACCCGGGGCAGAGCCGAGCCAAGTTGAGCGTGCAGCTGGGGGAGCGGCTCCTGCCCGGCAGCCCCTTCTCATTGGAAAGTGGCGCCTGGGCTAGCCTCAGTCTGAGCCCTCACAGTGGTGTGCATGGTGTCCGCTTGCCCCCTCAGCCCCTGGTACAGCATCATGTACCAGGCATGGGGCACTACTTCTACAGCTTCCCTGCCACCATTGGGGAGGGGGAGGGGAGGCAAAGACCCACCCTGGCTGTACAGGTAGGCGCTGCCCATGTCACCAAACCGCAGTCAGCCACTGGGTGGCAGATGACTGCGGTGAGGAAGCTGTAGGGATAGCACCCTGCACCTGATACACAGGGCTGTGCTGTGCCAGTCTCCACTCTGGAGGTGGCTGTAGCCCAATTTTCCCCATGAGCAGGGGGGAAAGCCGGGTAGACCCAGGCTGGAGTCCCTGCAGACCAGGGTGGGGGTTTAAACCCCTTCTCAGTTGTACTCAGCCTGCTGGGGCCTGGCCACACCCCCTCTCAGTTCAGCTTCCCTCCAGCCTGAAGGGAAGGCAGGGCTTGCTTTAGCGCTCCCCAGCTTCTAGCCTGGGTCACTACAGGCCTACGTTTCCAGCATCAAAAGGGAATGTCTATTCACTTGCTTGCCGGTTCAATCTACACAGGTTAGACTAACCTGCAAAGATTGA